AGTTTGAAATAGGAGAGACTTGTTTAGAAAGATGGGGAGAACCTGGATTGATGTCTGGTCCCTCTCAGTCCCAAGAGCGAACCACCCCTTAAAACAAAGAGCACACACAAAAGCCTCCCCCCCAAGATTTGAAAGTATCTTGTCCCCTTATTGGTCCTTGGGGTCAGGTGTCAGCCAGGTTACCCGAGCTTCTTAACCCTTTACAGGTAAAAGGATTTGGAGTCTCTGTACACAGAGAGCTGTTACCCTTCCCTTTATAGTTATGACACGCCCCTTCTGAGGTTTAGAAAAATTGGATTCCTTTAAACTGTCATCCAAAGGCAGATTTATTCTTGAAGTTTGTGTGCAGACTCAGTAACTTACATATAACTGGGCTTTTTGTTTTAATCATGAACATTCAAGGCTTAACTGTTATCATTTTGTGTTTGCAGAGTTTAAAAGAACTTTAATGGTAAAGCTGAGAAAGATAATTTCTCTTTCTACCCTGCCTTATGCATTTTAAATGGTTTTTCCTGCTTCCACAATAACCTATTTAAGCTTAGCATCCCATTTCAAAGTACATAAATAACCAAAAGCAAGTTAATGATCCTGGGAGTGAGTCATGCATACCCCTTTCTCACATAAGTAACCCAATAAGGATTACTCAAGTGAATAAAGACTATTTGTATTAATAAGGTTTTGCAGCACTATCTGAATTCTATTTTAATAATAAAGAGCCTGATCCTGCAATCAATCTGAACTCAAAACTTCCATGTCACTTCTGTAGGAGAAGACAATTTATTTTTTCTTGTTACTGTTCACTATATTTAGGAGTCTATTTTTTTTTAAATTTTGAGTAATATTAAGATCAAATCTTGTTTGCCGTACTTGTACAAATAGCCCCACTGAAGACATGCTGGTTAGATGGGCAAAATTAACTTGAAGTCAAAGGAGTTGTACCCATTTACACCAGAGAATTTGGCCCAGCTGGTCTACCTGTCCCAGGAAAGTGAGCACGATTAAGCATTATGTCCCAAATCCTGCAAAATCTTACCTTCAAGAGCAGTCCAAAAGAAATCAGTGGGACTACTCACGAGACTATAAATTTGCATTAATTGTTAAACCAGAAAATAAATGGCCTCATCACGAGCTTCAGATATTTTTCATATTTTAATAATAATACTTATTAAAAGGATATTGTCAACCACTTAGGCTCATTTAAATTTTGTAAAATAAAGTGCTGTCATGAGAGAGTTGGAGGGTGGAGGTATGGGGGCGGGGGGGGTGGCTGAAATTTACAAAACCTGATCTGAATATAAATGCAAAAGAAGCCAATGAAAGCAATTTTGTGTTGCTTATTTTAACATCTGTAATTCATTCCCTGAGCCCTAAGATGTGTGCTGACAGGGGCTTTTCTAAGGCTACAGAGAGAAAGCGATATACACCCGGCCCATAACGGACGGACTCTAAATGGCAAAACAGAGACATGGAGGATTACAACACGGCGCTGCTGCTAAGAGCCAGACCCGCCTGCCAGGGCCGGCCTTCGCCCCGCCCCCATCTATCCCCGCCTCGCCCCGCCCCGCCGCCGCGTCTGCCCACAGCCCCCCGCCCTGGCACGCTCCCGCCGGAAGTCGAGACGCGCGGCCGCCCCGGCTCTTCTCTAAGATGGCGGCGGCGCTGAGTGCAGGCTGCCTGGCGGCCCGACGGCTCCTCTGGGCCGGGTCTGGCCGCCGCCTTGTGCGGGGCTCAGCTCCAGCGAGCCGGGTGAGTGGCAGGGATCGGGGCGCGGGGGAGATGCTGGGTGGGCTCCCAACCCTCTGGCCGGGCCACAGGCAGCCGGCAATTCAAGGGCAATGGGCTTCCTCCTCGCGGTGCACCCTGGGAGCTGTAGTTTCAGGTTATTTTCACGGGGTCGCACTGAGCCCTGGGACCTGCCCACTCCCACCCCACGCCTCCACCCCAAGCTGCGTAGTCCTATTGGGTGCTGGGAAGTGGGCAGGCATAAGCTAAGGGCCCCTCCCCCAGCCTGGGGAGGAGCTACTGAGCCCAGAAATCAGCAAAAATCGGGGGACAACAAATTAAAAAAACAGTAACAGGTGTGGGGGGTTGAAGGACCAAAACTGGGGGACCAGAAGGGGACACCGAGCAGAGAACCCTGGATAGTGCTCACTGCTCATCAAAAGCATCCAAGGAGCCAGCGGTCGCTGCCCAGATGCGTGAACGGATGAAAGAATGAAAATGGGCCCCACAGTCGCAGGCCCCCCTCAGCCTGGTGTTATAAATGCCCACTTTGGCCATGGCTAGGAGGAGGTTGACAAGGTGGTCCTGCGACTTTGTGGGGCCCCGGATTGGGTGTGCATATATAAAAAGGTGTGGGGAAAAGTGCAGCCAGAACCTCAACAAGAGGTTCTGGAGGAGCTGGAAGAGGGACGGCAACCTGGTGCACTGTACATAGACATGTGCCAGGGTCTCCCACACACCGCAACAAGGACAGGCATTGGGAAGAGGGGTGAACCATGCTAGATACACACCTGTACTCACAGCTCCATGAAGGAGTCGCCAACTAATGTCCCTGGCGGGCCGTGGAACCAAGGTGGAATACAGGCTGGCACACTGGGGTCCCCCAAGCTTTGTAGTTGCCCGCTGTACTCGTGGGGTTGTCTGGCTGTGTGGGATCTGTGCAAGCCACGGTGCGTGTGGCTCTGCAGTTTTTGGCTGAAGCTGGAGCAGCCTGCTTAGTTCTGTAGGCTACATGGGGTGGCATTGCAGGCTGAGCCCTGGACTCTGGGTTTCTTGAATAAAAACATGGATCTGTGCAGATTGAGGAGCTGTAGATGTTGGCCCTTCTGGGACTAGTTCAGGTACTTATATGGCCCCTTACTGTAATATGTAAGCACCTCTTAATCGTTAATGATTTTACTACTATTCCCCATTTTACAAATGGGGAACTGAGGCACAAAAAGACTAAGTGGCTTGAGCTGAACCCAAGTTTCTCACAGCCCAGGCTAGTGCTCTAACCATTGCATTAAAAAGGGGTCAGCTGCAGACTGGTCCATTTTATGCCCCTTCATGCTTCCTTTCTGGGCAGAGTTGGTGCATTTCTGAGGAGAAGAGCAGTGGCCACCAAATCAGTGCTAATTTTACAAAACAAAAATAAATAATTCATACTTTTAAGTTCAGGAGCATGCTTTCCTGACAAGCATCATAGGATGGTGCCTACAATTTGTAACTAATGGCTTTTCTTTACAGTCCATACAACTTGGGACAAGCAGATTCAGGGCCACCAAGGCAGCAACGCAAATAGTTTTAAATGTTCCTGAGACTAAAGTGTCTTCTCTGGAAAATGGCCTGAGAGTAGCTTCTGAAGATTCTGGACTCTCAACATGCACAGTAGGTAACTTGTGAATGAATTTTTTACTTAACTATGTACCTGTATTTTCATTACATTGTGAAATTAGATGTACTATTTTCATTAAGAGTATTTAGCAGAAGTATTTAACAACAGTTTGTAAATAAAGAACACAAGTTTGGGTGAAGGTAAGGCTAAGCCTTTAAAAAGTGACTAGTGATTTTGGATGCCAAACTTGATACACTGTAAAGGGGTCTGATTTTTCAGAGAGTGGGTGCTCATCACTTTCTGAAAATTGTGCCCCTTTAACTGCAAATTAGTTTACCCCAAAATTGAGGCACCCAAATCACTAGTCACTTTTGAAAATCTATGTGTAGTCTATTTATAAAAGGTAAAATCTTAGCCGAAGTAAGAACCAGCAAAACAATGCCAATGCTATCTTCTATTAAATAGTAAGATTAATATTTGTTTTTAATAAGGTTGGTCTTTGGATTGATGCTGGAAGCAGGTATGAAAATGAGAAGAACAACGGAACAGCTCACTTTCTGGAGCATATGGCTTTCAAGGTAAGTATTAAAACTAGTTTTCAAATTTTTTTAAAATTAAAATTGTTTACTTATCTTTAAGGATAACTATGGAGACTCTTTACAACTGATTTCAGTCTATCACTTTTCAAAATCACCTGGAAAACGCAAGCAATTTGGATTTTTGTCCAAAATAAAAATCAAGGTTGCAATCCTGGCCTCATTGAAGTCGATGGTAAAGTTGCTGTTGACTTCAGTGGAGCCAGGATATCACCTCAGATCTGTATGGCTTCACACGTACATTTGCATGTGCTGCTATAGCCTTGTCTGAAAGAAGAATTTCATGTTTGATCTATTTGAAACAAAAAACAAACAAACAAAATGGCTGACAGGAGGAATTCATGAATGATAGATCTGTTAGTTTCAAGAGTTAGTTCTGCATGTTATTTCAGCATTTTAAAAATTTAATAATTTGAGTGCTTACTGAGGTGCAGTCAAAACAACACTGGTTTGAGTCTGGTGTTGTGCAACCTTCCTTCCATATTTCTGCCACTATGTTTAAATCCTGAACTGATCCACTCCTGCTGACACCTGAGATTGGTAGAGTTGAGTCATGCTGAATTTAACTAATCTTTGTAGGAGACAAATCGGCACTCTGTCTTCAAGTTAATTTTCACTTGGAATCTGTGCAGGCTTTAAACTTAGTTTTCCAGTGGGGAAAGACCGATGTGCCAACCTTCCCCCCCACCCCCTCCCAACCAGTTGTTTCTCTTGTGCCCCAATCACTTTTTTTTTTTTTTTTTTTATTATTTAATTAACCCCTTACATTCCCCCAGTGGCAAAGGTACTTTTTGGGTAGGTACCTTCCAGAGTGCAAGTAAACCATTTTTTTTTTCTTTCTTTAATTTCAGGGGACAAAAAAGAGGTCTCAATTAGACCTGGAACTAGAGATTGAAAACATGGGAGCTCATCTTAATGCCTACACATCCAGAGAACAAACTGTGTATTATGCAAAGGCTTTCTCAAAGGACTTGCCAAGAGGTAACTGCTTCTGTTCTGCAGAATTTCTGAAGGAGCATCCTTCCTAAAGATTGTGAGGAGGGGAACAACAAGGAATTAAATGAGCTGACAACCCTCTAAAAAAGCAGAAATGGGAGAACAGTGCCTCTGCAGTGTGCTTCCCACCTCCCTTCCTTGGCAGCCCCCCTGCTGAAACTCCATGGGGATGAGGCTTAGCAGGTTTGGAGAGGAGCATTTCAGCATTGTGGCCCATGCTTGGCACATCTCCTAGGGACCAAATGGCTCTCCTTTGGGGCTAAAGATGTGAAATTCTCACTCCCCTGCAGATCTCAGAGAGATGCTGACTTTGCAGACCATGTTCCCTGCCCCTATTTTGGCACCCTTGTCCTTCTGAGGGAACTTTTGTTCAAACTCTAAAGTGAACCTCCCAGTGTATCTTGGGCACTCTGTGCTCCTCCAGTGTGTTTGACCTTGGGAAGGTATGATAGGGCCCTGGATATTTGTATTGTGATTAACTTAAGCTATTTGTCTCTAAACATATTGTGAAAAAAAAGCTTCCAAGAAGAGAGAAACAAAGTGCTGCCAGTTGAAGAACAAGCTATATTTTTGTTTAGTTTTCTCTAATTGTTCATTCCTGGTATGTCTAAGTGAATTGTCTTACTCCATAGTGTTCATCTGAAATAAAATAATTCATATTGACAATTCCTTGATGAGAATACTAAACTGCTCGAGATAGTTAAGACCAAAGCAGACTGTGAAGAACTTCAAAAAGATCTCATAAAACTAAGTGATTGGGCAACAAAATGGCAAATGAAATTTAATGTGGATAAATGTAAAGTAATGCACATTGGAAAAAATAACCCCAACTATACATACAATACGATGGAGGATAATTTAGCTACAACTAATCAGGAAAGAGATCTTGGAGTCATCGTGGATAGTTCCCTGAAGACGTCCACGCAGTGTGCAGCGGCAGTCAAAAAAAGCAAACAGGATGTTAGGAATCATTAAAAAAGGGATAGAGAATAAGACAGAGAATATCTTATTGCCCTTATATAAATCCATGGTACGCCCACATCTTGAATACTGAGTACAGATGTGGTGGTCTGATCTCAAAAAAGCTATACTGGCATTAGAAAAGGTTCAGAGAAGGGCAACTAAAATGATTAGGGGTTTGGAACGGGTCCCATATGAGGAGTGATTAAAGAGGCTAGGACTTTTCAGCTTGGAAAAGAGGAGACTAATGGGGGAGATGATAGAGGTATATAAAATCATGAGTGGTGTGGAGAAAGTGAATAAGGAAAAGTTATTTACTTGTTCCCATAATATAAGAACTAGGGGGCCACCAAATGAAATTAATGGGCAGCATTATGTTCTTAGAAGTTTTAGAAATCCCTGAAGAACACACATTCTCTCCAAGAAGGGCACTAAAGTTTTTTCTTAAAACAAATATTACAAAATAAGATTACACTATGTAGAAGTTTATTTTCAATTTCCTGTTAGATCTTTCTTCCTGTACTCTATGCTAACAGTTCTGCCCACTTATAATATGTATTTGAGCTGCTTATTTGATTACGATATAGTGAGCTGAAGGTTCCAGTGTTGCTGAAGCACACTTGCCCCCCATCCCTTTGTGTTTTCAACTAGCTGTGGAGATTCTTGCTGACATCATACAGAACAGTACACTGGGGGAAGCAGAGATCGAGCGGGAGCGAGGAGTTATCCTTCGAGAGATGCAGGAAGTTGAAACCAATTTGCAGGAAGTTGTCTTTGATTATCTTCATGCCACAGCCTATCAGAACACTACACTGGGACGGACAATATTAGGCCCCACCGAAAACATCAAGTAAATCCAGCTTCTATTTCTCCTTTGTCTTAATTTCATGGTTACTTTCCAGTATTTGAAAACCACACTTAAAGATAAATGGAACAATTTCTGTTCTCTTTATGCCTTATGAAGTGTTTGGGGTTGCACAAGGTGGAATTGCAAGTGGAATTTCCCCTGAGTGCCTTACACTCAGACATGTTTGCTTTGGACACTATTACAATGTGAAACTTCTGTTTTTAACTTATATACACTTAAAACGCTGCAGTGGCACAGCTGCATCGCTGCAATGCTTCAGTGTAGACACTACCTATGCTGACAGGAGGTGCAGTCATTTTCTTCTTTACCACTACAGATCCATAAATCGTAATGACTTGGTGGAGTACATAACAACACATTATAAAGGACCCAGGATAGTGCTGGCTGCTGCTGGAGGTTAGTATGAGACATGCATCACAGCAAGCACTTGGAAATAAGTTTAAAAACACAGCACTTTAACTTTGTTGAGATAGTACAAAGATCAGACACAGAAATATGACTTATCCACTACTTAATAGGTCATAGAAGTCTATTGTTAGCCCTCAAAGTTCTGTGTATCTGCAACTCATCTGTTGTGTTTTTCCACCCCAGTAATCTTCCAGGGACACCCTTAAATTTATCTTTAGGCAAGGAGGGTGCTTGGCTTTCAACTGAGAGGCTGTTCCAAGTGTAAGAGGACAGTGTGACAGAGCACAAAGCTACAAATATGGGAAGGAGATGGTGTTCAGGATGGGAGAGGGAATAAGAGAAAATAGAAAGGTGGGGTGAGATGATGTAAGGCCTTGAAGTTGAGAACAAGGAGCTTGTGTTTGGTGCTGTATAAGATAGAGGAGGCAAGAAAGGTGATGAAGATGATGATTTTAGCAATGGCATTTAATTAATTGGAAAGGGGGGGGGGGAAATCAGAAATGTACAACAATCAAGTTGGGAGAGAACCAAAGGTTATGATGGATTGTTGTAACTCTGGCATCTTGGCTGAAGCTTTTTAACGTCTGTGAAAAATTATCTTCTTAGATGATACATTTTTTAAAACTGCTCTATATGAAACTCTCTTGTTCAGGAGTCTCTCATGATGAATTGCTTGATTTAGCAAATTATCATTTTGGTAACTTACCGTCTACTCAGGAAGGAGGAATGCCAGCCCTACCCCCTTGCAAATTCACAGGTAGTGAGGTAAGCACTGAGATTGCTCTTTGCCTTTTCAGGTTAATCAGCTCAACAAGCAACACTGAGTAATGACTAATTAACGAGTTGTCTGGTGTGATCTGAGTTTCTAGTGTGACTTTCAAAGCTGCTAAGCACCCATCGCTCCCATTGAAGTTAATAGGAGCAGTTGATGCTCACCATCCTTGAAAATCATCCTGTTCACTAGATATATTTCTGGGCAGGGGTTTTTAAAGGTTACAGCAGAGGACTGGAACTTGGGACTCCTGTGTTCTGTTCCCAGCTCTGCCCCGACTCTGACAAATCACTTTGCCATCCTATGTCTTAATCATCTGCAAAATGACTATTATTATAACTTCCTTACACACAGCATTAGGTTTACATAGACAGTTAAGGGTATTATTGAGTAAAGCTTTTTACGCTTTGCACTAGATTTTATTTGAAAGTTCCTAGTTTCCTTCATTTGAATAAATGTACACACTATGGTATGTTTGCTGCATTACATTTGAAATTAACATTTTTGTGATTCAGATTCGTATAAGAGATGACAAGATGCCTTTGGCACATATCGCAATAGCTGTCGAAGCAGTTGGCTGGTCTCACCCAGATACAATTCCCCTTATGGTAGCAAATACTCTGATAGGCAACTGGGATCGTTCCTTTGGAGGAGGTGTGGTGAGTGAACCTCAAGACACTTTGATGAGGGTTGATTATACCAGTAAGAGGTGTTTAATTCAGTAATTTGCCAGCATCAGTACACAAATTCCACCTTGTCTGGGATGGAATCAAGTTTCCTGGGTATTTCTATCGGCGTTTTAAAAAAAAAAAATCCAGCCCAATGGTCTCTGAATTCATTCTGTTGCCATGTGACATGAGAATTTGGGCACAGGTGCATTTGGGGAATGGCACACCGAGTCACCAAAGTGGAGGAGCCTTCATAGAGCCTAGCAACCTATAGTGAAAACAAGTTGGAAAAACTAAATAGGCTCCAAAGCTGTATGCAACGAGTATCCCAGTGCCTGTTCCCTCTCTTGAAATCTTACTAGCTATTTTTATTAGGACTTAAAAACAAAAACAAAACAAACCTTTGCAATTTAAAACTGACAAGTTCAGGCTGCCACTTGGAGAGTGAAAGATTATGTGCAGGAGAGGAAGCTGCCTGTTCTATACAAAAGCATCTGGTGCATACTCATAGCAGTATTGTTGACTGTGGAGGAAGCTGCCAATCTGTCTCACTTGAAATAGCAGTGGGTGAGCTTAGTGGTGGGAAAGAATATTTAAAAAAAACACCAAAACACCGAAATGGTAAAACTTATCTTCTTGTGTAAACAGAATTTATCCAGCAAGCTTGCCCAGATCACTTGCCATGGCAACCTGTGTCATAGCTTCCAGTCTTTCAACACCTGTTACACTGATACTGGACTGTGGGGGCTCTACATGGTTTGTGAACAATCCACTGTACAGGATATGATGCACTTCGTTCAAAGAGAGTGGTAAGAAAATGCATGTTTCTCCAAGTAGCTAGTTTTGGGTTGAGGACTGGCTATTTAAAAATAGCAGCTTCATCAAAAAAGTGTTCTGTGTTTGTGTTTATCACAGTCCAAATTTGTTGGGAAAGAACAAGTAGACTAAATTCAGAAGCTTCTGATGTTTGTTCCCAAAAAGCCAGTTTCTCCCACCCTTGCTTCACCCTGACAGTACCTTACACTGGAGGTAGCTCCAATGAAAGCAGTGGGTTTACTTGAAGAGAAAGGTACTACTTGGAAGAGTAAGAGTGGTGAAATCTGGCCCAAAACATCAGTAATAGCAATTTGATTTACAAATTAAATTTTCTGGCAGGAGGAGGGATTGGAAGGGTTATGTAATCTTCTGTGGAGTAAGATGCAAGCTAAGTAAGGTCTGTTACTTCTTATCTAACTTTATATACCCTCCAATCAACTGCAAACAGACTCAGTGGCATTTAGTTTACATTTTCAGAGAAGCACATTAAATTATCATATATACTCATTCATTAGCCCGTTAGTTTATAAGCCGACCCCCCAAGATGGATAAGTAAAAATAGCAAAAACTGTATAACCCTTTCATAAGCCGACCCTATATTTCAGGGGTTGGAAAACTTTGGCTCCCAGCCTGTCAAGGTAAGCCGCTGGCGGGTCGGAATGTTTTGTTTACCTGGAGCGTCTGCAGGCATGGAGCCCCTCAGCTCCCTGTGGCCGCGGTTTGCCGTTCCCAGCCAATGGGAGCTGCGGGAAGTGGCGGCCAGCACATCCCTCGGCCCGTGCCGCTTCCCGCAGCCCCCATTGGCCTGGAGCGGCGAACCGCAGCCAGTGGGAGCCGCGATCGGCTGAACCTGTGGTTGCAGCAGGTAAACAAACAGGCCCGGCCTGCCAGGGTGCTTACCCTGGCAAGCCACGTGCCAAAGGCTGCTGATCCCTGCCATAGAGTTTAAAATGATCAAATTTTGGCGTAGACTCGTTTATAAGCCGACCCCCGCTTTTTGATGCGTCTTTTTTTTTTTTTTTTTTTTTACCAAAAATATTCAGCTATACGGTACTTACTAACACAGTAACTGCATGGATGATGGCTAGTTGCACAAGC